GAAAACTGCAAGGACTCGTCCAAGCAGTCACTGCAGAGTCGGTAACGACTGAGCGCAGATTAAAAAAAAAAAATCAGACTGTATTTGTTCTGTAGAGATATATGACATACATTAGACTTTTATTGAATGTTATTGATTAAATCAAAACAACAAAAAAGTGGCTAAAATCTTTGTTTATGTAGAAAAAGCTTTTGTCAATCTAGCATGGTCTTTTATGCTTGCAGTTTTAAAAAAGAGATGTAGCTTAATTTTTTCACATGGATACAAAATATTTATAAAGAACAAAAAGCAAGATAATAGTAAATTACTACTTATCACCACAATGCATCCTATAGAAGGGGACAAGATGATATTGTCCCCTTTCCCCTTCTTTTGTACTGGTATTAGAACCACTGGCAATGAAAATACATCAAGAAAATAAAACTGCTGGAGTTAAACTAGCAACTCATGAATATAAACTGAAATTACATGCCAATGAAGATATACTCACAGTCACTCAACCAAAAGACTGTTAATAGCATATATATTGACATTACTTTGACATGGAATCTAACAGACGAAGAAAAACAATACCTGCATCTAGTAATGACTTTTAACACTTCTGAGAAAAGGTTAAATACAAAAAAATCATTTATTTAAAAATAATTATTTGAAGAGCTGGAAAAAGACAACAGCAGTTGTTTCCAGAGGAGGAAAATAAACTTTCTTGATTAGGAAGAATTGCAATCATCTAAATGAATATTTTACTAGAATGTTACTTTCTTTTCCATATGATTCCAATACATATTGAAAATAAAGTATTCATTGACTGGCATAATGAACAACGTATGGTCCAATTAAAAAACCCCCAAGGATTAAATTTAATATTTTGCAGGTTTTGAATGAACAAAGTGGATTGGTGGCTCTCAACTTTAAACTGTACTATCATGCCAGTTGCTTAACATGGATTACAGACTGGATCATATCTCCTTATGGCCCAAATACAGAAAGGCCAGGAGTTCCAGTCAGCATAAATATCTCTGGACTGAAACGAACAGAAATAAACAATTTATATGAGATCATGTAATAATAAGTAATGTATTGAACCTTTGGAATCAGAATCTTTATTGCAGTCAATGACAGTCCATAAAACACTTGAATACATAAAATTAATATTATCTAATTAAGTAACAGATTTGTCAGTCAAACTGCTGCACATCTTACATATTATGTGACAGAATTTGGCCACACTTAAGGAAATAAAATCATTTGAATCTGATAGCAAGAGGTTTAAATAAATCTAATCAGAGTGGCCAAGGAGTTAACAGCTCATGACAAGTGTTGGTATAAAATGGACATTACAGTTAAGGTATGTTTGGAGATGGGCAGAGTTTGGATTTAAACTGAACATTTGGATAAATACAGGAAAAGAATGTCTAAGATGTCCCCCTCTTGCTTTGTTATTATTAAATGTTTATTTTTATGAAAACACAAATTTGCTCCATGGAGAGATATCAATTAGTTTAGATTGAAAGATCTTATTATTAATAACACGAAGATAAAAACTTTTGAGATTCTTACTTCACAATGGTCTCGTTCATTGGACTGATTTTTGTAACTTCACATAAATAGCCCAGAATCAAAAGAATTGCAGAAACAAAGAAGAACCCTTAGAGACCTGAGTGAATTTGAAAATCTTTTAAGACATAGTTTGGAGCAACTGCTGGGCCTTCTTTATAAATTGCTGGTGCAATATGATTCAGAAACCAAAAAGTCAAAGACCACATGATTATATGGATGCAGAATTTAGAAGTAGTAATCAATTTGCAACAATGAAATTTCAATAGGAGAGTATTACATTAACCTAAAAAATTACACTTAGAGAAAATCGGTATAAGACATTTTAATGTTGGTATATTACTCGAGTTTTGATTGCTAAAATTGTTAATTCATTTTCTAAAACTTGCTGGAGATGTAATGAGCAGGCGGATCATTCTTTTACATCTGGTAGCAATACTTTAACAATTGCAACAAATCTGAAAAATAATTCATAACAGAATAAAACAAATGTAAAAGTTGAATTCTCATTTCAACCTACAATATTTTTATTAAACGATCAATTTCCTCAAAATATACCTGAACTAACTTTGTACATACCAATTGCTGCAAAGATATTATACACTCTTTATTGGAAAAGTCTATGTTCCCTTCAATGGAAGAATGGCTATCAAAGCTGTGGGAGTGTGCTTCAGTAATCCTATCTTCAAAGTAAATCTGATTTGGAATTTAACTAAAAGTGGAAGCCATTTTTAAACTACGTGGACTTGTACCAAATCAAAAAAATTGGATTTCTATGCTCAAAGTCTACATAGGATTTCCATATCAGAGCAGATTTTTAGGAACACGGATAGAATTTATTGTAGATTGCAATTTCACTTGATAATTTATACGGTTCGTATTCATGGTTATTGATATTCATATTTTGCTTCCAGCTTAAGAGCAGTTTTTAGTCCTTTAAAATATTTAAAACTGATTTAAAATGAAAATGTTACTCATTATTAACTAATTATGTAACAATATATTGGAAAACTATAACTTCCATGATATATTAACCTCCCCTTTTCATACATTTATTCATCTGTATTATATTTTTTATCTCTTTTTCCTGTTTCTTGTTTATATATCTTCAACGTGTTTGATTAAAAGATAGAAAAAATACACAAGAATTTTAACATGGTAAGCCTATTATTTATCTTTTACTTTGACAGATCTGGCAATTTGCTGAAAAGTTGCCATTTGGGGAGTTCACTGCTAAGGCCTCGTGAGCTCACTCTGTTATCTTCTGATTCAATGTGTGTTTCTAGAAATACTTTTGAAAATACTTTTATTAAGAACATGATTATATTCGCCTCTGCAGCTGATGCTTTCACAAATTCTCAGGTTGGGCTGAAATTGCTTTTTCAAGATTCACAGCATAATAATCACCTATTATAAGGAACTGATATGCAATACTACCTGAATAAAAAGTCCAGGATGCAAACTACAAAATTAACTGCTGTGACCATTCAGTTTGCCTAGAGGCTTTGAACCTTTTTAGTTCTGTCTATAAAAGCTCTATAATACGAGATGACTCAATTTGGGAACTCAGATGTTGTTTTCTCAACAGTGTGCACTGAACTCAATCTTCTTGAGTCTCTGGTTAGCACAAGCTTAAGGTATATGCATTGGGAAGTTTATAAAAGGAACTTTTCATTTATTTGAATGCCTAAGCCACTGTATATACTTCCTCTCTAAAGGTGTATCGGCTTCTATTCAGGCACAGGAAAACAAAACCAAACTCCTTGTAACATTACCAAACAGCCATCTGTAACACTTACAGCATCCACACTAGCTAGCGAACCTTCAAGTACCACCTGCCAAGGCAGCACTTACAGCTATTTCTCTTTTATGCCTGAAGATGAGAGTTACAGGAATTTCCTTGAGACAGGCAAGCATAATTGTTTATGTTATTCAGTGACAGAAACCGATAATCATAGGATTTTTTTTTAAGCTGCTCAATTTAGTGTGAGAAGAGATGGCATGACATTAGCAAGCAGTATTTTTATGCTCATTTTGCACTGCTTTCTAATAGATACATATAAATTGTGTTACGATTCAGTATGAGGCAATAAAGGCCTTTGACTGAACATATACTATAGCAAAACTTTTGATTTTACAGACCAGTTTGGGGGAAAGGATATCTGTTAAAGATGAATTTAACTGATGTGATTTATATCATTTGTATCAATTTACGTAAGCTGCATAATTAACTGATACAACTGATATTATTTTGTCATTATGCAAATGACATACATTATGTTAACTGTCTGGACTGCTTTGGTAACAACAGACCTGACACGTTATTTTGGGGGGAGAGGTCAACACAACATTTTAGCTATTGCATCAGAAGGCAACTAAATGGGGGTCCCTAAAGGTTTTGCTGAATTGTACATAGTTCCCATATTTGTACAGTGCTGTTTAATAAGGAATTTTGCATATTGAACAAAGACAACACAATTTAATTATCCTTTTATTTTTTATTTGGTGTTAAGTAACTCCACAAAAAACCAAATTCAGTTACTCTGATGTATGTGAAATCAGAACAATACAACCACTTGAAGCAAAAAGGTAGAAACAAGTTCAGCCCAGGAATGAAAAACTGATACTTCAGTGCTATGGATATGCAATGCGCTTCATACCACAGTGCATTTCAGCATCTCCACTTTTAAATTATCCTTGCAGAAAAACAGAAACACGAACTCACACATCCACTTTCTCACTGGAAAGCTTCAGAATTTTATCCATTCAGTTATGAAACAAATAAATATTATTTGTTATTGCCCACACATGTAACATACATATTTTCAAAGGTGTTAGAATATTGAATCATAATGAAATGAACCATCCTTTCACTGAGATCTCTATCCAAATAAGCTGAATTTTCAAAGTGTGGGTTGTTCCCTCCCCAAATATTCCCATTTGGCTTTTCATAATTCTAACAATGATTCTTTACATTAATCACTAGGATTTATCAGTTTTGTTCTTTTTGCTTTCATACTGACAACAATATCCTTAGTGCATGTGCTATACAACATTTTAAAGGAAGCTCCAGAAGAAAGTAAATATTTAAACACATATCCAAAATTTCAAATAAGAAAAAAAAACACTGTAAAGATTTATAGTATGGATGCTAAAATAAAGTAGCTTAAAAGCCATTATTCATGTTATTAATAACATTTCCCTGGAAGGTACAAACCAAGCCAATGGAGTTGAAGTTTCAACGGAAAGGATAATATACAACCCGTACAAGGAGTTGATACCCTAGATCTTAAATCATGTACTATCAATTAAGAAAAGGCAAAAAACTTCATTCAATCCAATTAAGCTCACTAGCACAGAATAAAATTTTAAAGCCAGTTCAGCTTACCATTTCAAACAACTATAATTGTTAAAGAGTTTCTTGCCTATTAAAATTAATGGCTTAGCATTTTCAAGTCAACAGTAAGCTTTCTGTTCTTTCTGGTGTCTTAAACATGCTGCTATTGTATAGTTTTTTAAAACTATGAAATGGTATAAACCAATATTGCTCCTCCTGACTCTTATGATTTGCATAATACATTATTAGCACAGGGAGTTGATAGTCTTGCACAGTTACATTTTGACAGATGCATTGACTATGTTAAAATAAACGTTAAGAGCAGGTCACATAAAGCAACAATCACTACTGCAATCACACATGTAAATCATGTTCCCACTCCCGCCCACAACACACAACTTACTCCTAACATTCTCTCAGGGCACAAAGTTAGCTACAAATTTTACTAAATTACAGCCATAATAGTAGCTAACTGCAGGAGCCACTGGATTTATTTTGAGAGATATACTAATCCTCTGCATATAAAATATTGAACATTGACTCTTAAGATTTCTTTCGTTGTTCAGGCCAACTATATGAAGCTCATTACAAAGTTCACTGTTCATTAATTTCCCCACAATGCAATCCTAAGTACACTTACAAGCATGTATCATTGAAGTAAGTGTGCTTGGTTCAGGCTGTAGTGTCATTTGTTGGATCATCTACTTTTCAACACTGAGTCCTGAAAAAGAAGAAATACTAAGCCCTGAAAACAAGAGGGGAAAAGGGGGAATAATCATATTTCTTCCTCCCCGTCCCTGCAAAGATCCACAGCTTTTTCAGTTAACAAGAAGGTAACAAACAATTGTTCCAACTCTGTTTGTTTCTATGCATGTTAGGAGAAGAGATCCTAGAATAGAAAGTACAGTTTCTGAAAGTCTCTAAAGCACAGCCCTAGTATTTCTACTCCCAAGTTATAAGATCTTAAAAGACAGGACAAGCCATACATGCTTTCCTCTCACATTCAGAAAGGCACTGATAGATTACAGTGTTAAGTATTTATCTCCCAAATCTTAAAAGCCTAAATGTGCTAAAAGATAAAATCTCTGAATAGTCGTAGACACTGCAATGCTAGTAGGATAGTAATACTGATAGAGCTGCAGTTGAAAATAAAAATAACTGCAGCTAGGATGCAAAAGAGCAGTGATACTACTAAGACAATCACATGCACATCCATTCTTGATTTGACACCACAATCTACTCTAGGTCCAAATAGCCAAGGAGCTAATAGTTTGGAGAAAAGGGAAAAAAAGCTTCTAGCGGGACCATATCCCACTATTAAAAATAAAATACCAAGAAGAGAAAGATAAATACACTTCTGAATCCATTATATGAAGGAAGAACTCAATTTGTTGCTGAGTTACAAGCCTTCTGGAAGAGTTTACCATCTCATGTTATTCTTCAAACCATCCTTTTATTCTATAGCTTTATAGGTGAGTTCGAGAAAAAAGCTCCTCTTCACAAGGGTCTGTCCATCCATTTCCACCTTCTGATGCTTCAGAACTGGAGCTGTCGCTGGAGTATAACTTTTTTCTAAAGCCATTTGATTTTACTTCAGAATCTCTAGGATCTGTACACCTTGCTTCATGCATGGAAGAAACCTATGGGATTGCATTTAAAAACATTATAGGTTATAGTTTTGTAAAAGGAGAAAATATAAACTTTTTTTCAGAAGAAAAATGAATCAAAATCAAAATCCTTCACGTTTTCATATAGCAATTTTAAAGAAATGACTGGATCCAAATTTATACTAGGCAGACTTCTGCTGGCACTAGAGAAAAGGGAGCAGGATGGCATTCCTGATGGCTCTTTCCCTTGCAGCCCCTAGTACCAGTGTGAAGTTCTGGGGAACCCTCTGGGACAATGTGGTGAATGGTGCTGTGAGAAAGGGAGAATATGAGGGAAACGCCTCCTTCATCTGCTCGAACTCAGCTCATCAGCCCCTGGGAAAAGGCCTCCCTATTCAGAGGAGCCAGGCTGGGTCCAACCTATTTTTAAACCTTGGGAGTTTTGATTTATCAGTATCAATCCTGAATGTATACAGTGAGGCCTTCTACCTTAGCTTGCTTTTCACTAAAGCACCTTTGACTCCTCAAATCTATAGCAAAATTTGCTATGTAAAGTGCTATGGTTTGAAAAGAACTATCAGCAACATCTTTCCCTTCAGTCTAGGTTTCTTTTTGTTTGGTTTTGTCATGTGGAATTATTTGATTCTATGCCTTTAAAACAGAGGTACTCCTCGTTTAGCAACTGCCTCGTTTAGTGACCATCTGTGTTATAATGGTGATGAAAAAGTAACTTTGTGACCAATCTTTACACTTATGACCTTTGCAGGTCTGTAAGGCAAAGGAAAGCTGAAATAAGATTGTAAGCATAGTCACGGTTTCACTTGGTGACCACTTTGCTTAACAACTGAGTTGCCGACCCAACTGTAGTCGATAAACGGGACTACTATGAGAAGATTTAAAATTAAAAGCTGTTCCTCAATTCAGCCTTAATTTTATTACAAACGTAACAAGGAATCATAACATATCTTCTGTTCTTTAGCAGACATTTACATAGTTAGATGTCATACATATCCAATATGGTTTTTTTACTTACCATATTAAAATCTTGAAGATGTTCTTCACTGTGTAGTAATTCTTTCACATCTGTGAATTCTTCAACACTGTTTTCCCTCTTGACATTTGTATAGCATTCTTTGAAAGTTTTGTTTCAAAGAATCAAGGCAATGATGGGGGAGAGAAAAAAGGACTTTAAAAATTAAATTCAAATTTAGGAAATCTAAGTAAGAAATCTCTAGTTATAATATTTGATAACCAAAAGTGAGCAGAATCACAGTACAAGCTAGTGAAGAAAACTGGTTTCAGAAGTCAGGTTCACTTATCTCAGACAATTATTATCTTAGACATATTATTCTTATGTATCTTATAAATTTTCCCCTCCACTATTATTTAAAGTGGATCAAGAGACTCTTTGGCAAGTCAGCCCCAAGATCCTCCTATGACGATGTTTTTAATTTCCTCCTATCCACTTTATCTATTCACAGAATGCACAATCAATGCTTGATACCATAATGGTGTGACAGAACCCATTTACATCTAGGAACAGCGCTGTTGCTGCAAGACAGCTTCACACATCTCTCTGTAGACAAGACAGCAGCTAGTACTTGCACCCAAAGTTCCACAGACAGGAGTTCAAGTCCACTAGCAACTCAAATGCAGCAGCTGCTTGCAAGCCATGGTTTGTAAGATAAATAGCCAAGACTGAACAAGCAAGGAAAGACTGTCACCCCAATTTCAACTGCCAGACATTGATTAGAGAAGCACAAATAATCAGTAGACAACAGCTCTCTAATAGGTATGTTTTAGTCTTGTGAAACTAAGGCAGCCTTTCCTAGTGCAACACCCTCCAATGGTCGATTATAAATTCACATTACCTTCCTATTGCTAACAGAAGGCACTATGCTGGGGAGATTATGCTACATAATTTAAACAATTGGCCTGTGCAATATTTTTGATTTGACTCTGAAAAAGTTGTTTCGGAACACAGAGGAGCATGAATGCAACATCTGTTGGTGACTCTATAAAACAGGTGTGCTTACTTCAAACAGTGCAGCTTATTCTGTAAGTCACTCACATTCCATGTGCTCCAAAAGAAACATTTTGAAACTGAATTTAAAATGTACAGCCTAGTAGACCATGTGAACATTATGGGTATCTTTACAACCTTTCTCTTAAAAGAGTGTTAGTTAACACACCCAGAAACTGCTCTGTGACAAAGACCAATGCAAGGGTTAATAGGAAATACAGCTTTAACTTCATGTCTGAAGAAGGCAAGTATGGAAGGTACTGCAAAGACAATTCTTTGAATGCAGACAATAAATATTTTGGATGTATTTTAATTCTGTAGCCACGGGATTAGACAAAAAAGCCACTCATTATGAAATAAAAGAACTGATCTATTGGGTTAGCACAACAGATATTCCCTTTTCAGTTCTGTGCATGAAACCCAGAAATCTCAGCACCACAGCCCTATAGAGAAGACTTCCTTAATAGAGCTGTCCCTAAGTCAGGGGTCCCCAAACTCTTCAGCTCACTGACTCCTTCATGAAGTTTCAGATTGTTCATCGACCCCCAAACATTTATTATATGAAAATAATTTAATAAATACTTTAACTAATAGTACTACAAATAACAACATCGACCCCTTGGCTAGTCCCATTGACCCTTGATGGTCAATACTGACCACTTTGGGGAACCCTGCCCTAAGTAGAACAACACACTCAGGATATATATAAAAGGTCTCAGTGCTATCTTGAGATGATAAACTGATAAGAGCCATTTATAGAATAGCAGACATTGACTCCTAATCATATTCAAGTAATTGCCTAACTCATTCATGCCAAGGTCACAAACAGTAATGTTCATCTCCCACATTCATTTGATAGCAGCTTATTTTCTTCTTCAATAATGCTGCTCAGTTTACTATCTAAGCAGTAACTGAAGCAAGGGGAATAAATCAGGAAGATATGAAATTGTTGGGATCATCTCCTTGACTCCAACAACAATGCTCTGAGAAAAAAAATTCATTCATTTGGCTATAGTCATCTATGAGGAATAACATTTGTTGACAGTTGTAAAGAATGTGAAAGAGTCACCACATTTATTGAGCAATTTCAATTGTGGAGCAAGTTCAGACAACATTACAGAGTAAAAATGGCTCCTATTTGTTCAAAGGGATGACTGTCCTTCTGAAAGCTGCACGACAAAGGAGCAAATGGATGCAGCTTTCCCCAACACTACATTCATATGCCAAGTACAGTTGCACCTACTGCCCCTATGTATTGTATCTTATAGCTTTTAAAGAGACAAAAACCCTCTTGGGACAAAATGGTGACTATCCCATATAGGAATAGTTGCCTTCTCACTGGCAGCTGCTGAAGCTGTAGATCTTCCTTGTTGTCTACATGACAAGGTGTGAGAAGAATATCCTTGCTTCTGTGTATGTTGAATGGCTGCCTGGTTACCTGTGGAAAACAAAACAACATGGGGAGATATCGCACAAGGTCTGCTACATATGAAACATTTCTCTGTAACTCAATCAATGAACAGCAAGAAGAAAGAAAAAGAGCCCTCACTTAAGAGAATGCCTTTCCACATTCTTCTGCCATTATCCTCACTATCCCAGCAAGTACGCATTCTTGGGGTTTGTAAGAATGCCTTGTGGAAGAGGAACTGTTACTGTGGACAGAATACTCACTCATCAAATGTAGGGAATCGCACCGGAACTCTTTGTCCAGCAGCTGTTCTGTTGCAATGTCACCCATCTCTGATTCTGAAAGAAAGAATGCATCACAAAGTTTGGCAAACATTATGTTACTATTATGTTCTAATAAGTAGTGGGTTGTTATTTAGCTAATACAGAGTTTCTGAAATCTTCAGAAGCAATGGGGCAAAATGGTCTAACTACAAACAGGAGTACACTGCTCATTTTGATAGACAATGTTCAGGAATTTCAGGTATGAGCACTCTTCCCTGGTGAATACCTCCCCATTTGATTACCTATGTGAGGTGCCTTGTCTTTTAATCCCCAGTTACAGCAATGGGGTTCGTGGTGCACATGCATGCCCGGAGTCCAGAAGCAGAGTACCTGTAAGGGGTCTAAGAATACAAAAGTTATTCATCTGCTATTCTTGTATTTACTGTTAGCCTTGGCTATTTGTGATTTTCACAAAGTCCTTCTCTGATAAAATTTGCCAATGCTCACAGCTTAATGTACGTATGGTATAGTTGTGCGGAGTACTACTGTCTCCAAATAGAAAATGTAACCATATATTCATACCATATTTTTAAGTTGATTTTTCATAGGTGTAATAGTACATTAGCATAAGGGGAAGGAGCAAGGTCTGAGAGAGAAAAAATCTAACTAAGTCCCATTTCTCTTCTTCTACCCTTTCAATTCCAGATGGTGGTATTGTGATGCAGATGCAAGACTATTCTGTCATCCTTTTCTATTGGTTAGAGTGACAAATTCAGTCAGTCCAAATATTTATAGAAACTGCACTTTCAAATTTATTCTGAACTAAAACTTTTGCATGTCCAATGCCTTTTAGAATTGTACAATGTAATTTTTACATCTCAAAAATATTGGGGGGGAAATTACAAGAATGTACACACTAGAAAAGTGCATACAAAAATATCTATGAAATTCTAGATCAACTTTTATTTTTCTAGTTCAAAACTGATGCAGAAATACAGTTAAACAGGTATACAGCTGGGAAAATGAGAATGAATAAAATAGCATATGATAGGTTTCTCCATCACTAGTGATCTTCTTCCATTCAAAAAAAGGAATGCAAGCATCCAATTGACCCATGTTTTGTAGCTAACCTTATTTCTACTACACTGCAACATAAAATTACAGTAATTATTTTACAGAGAGAGGACAGAAAAAGCTTACTGTCGTAGCTTGATATTAACATAGTCTCAACACATGTCTTAATTCCAAGCATTAACCGTTCCTCAAAATACTGACTATTCTGAGAGGATGTCAGAGAATGTGGTTACATTTCAGTAAGCATTCATGGATTACTGAACTTGCCTACATTCTCACATTCCTTCCAAACATTCTGTCCCATTCTCACTGTTGTCTTTTTCCTACTGAAATGAGACTTTCTCATTATATCCCACAAAGAAGACATCAGCACAGATCATATCTCAGATGTGTTCCTCAGATTCTCTTAATAAGTGATTCAATCACAAGTGTGATTATCTCTTCATGAAAGTGACTTGGCTGAACTGAAACATACTGCACCTTAAAAAATTGTTTCAAGCACCTTTTGAATTTGCATTTTCTTTGTTCCTACAGCCATATCCTCAAAAAGGTTAAAAGTTCACAACACACAATAAGACAGAAAAAGGAAGGTTTATAAATTTACATTAATATAAATTTAAGATCAAAACAAAATTGAAATAGCAGGTATAATTAGAGAGTAATTTTTTGTTCTGTTAGAATGCACGTAAAGGTTAACAGGCTATGTTCTTATAATGAAAGCAGGTGCAAAGCAGAGAACTTGGAGCAACAGGCTATGAGAAGGGGAAGGCAGCCATCAGTTGGACGGGAAAAAGAAAAAGCAATAATCACCATACTACAAACAAAAGAAAAGATATCTGGTAACTCCTTATGACACACTAAACCATCATTTCACAATTAAGTACAGAGTAGTAGTTTTGTTGGTATACCTGTTTGAAAAGAAATAACATATTTGGGCTGTGCAAAGCATTTTAAATAGGTGGTTCGGAAGGTGCGTTAGCAGAAAGCACCTCTTCCAGGCCCTCCTCTGCAAGGCTTGCTCAACTGCTTGGAAGGCTGTCTCCTCATCTGTGTGCATGCACAGCCACCACACGCCACTGGCGGTCCCAGGGTCTAGGCATGCTTTCACATTCTAATTGCAGACAGTCGATTTTAGCTAAAAAACCTCTGTATCTTCATCAGATAAGTTTTCAGTTTACTATATAAGTCCAAGTAATATTTTAAAAATGGAAAATGTATATCTTCAGGAGAACTATATATCTTATCATCCCCATCTTTTTCATCTCTTTTTTTTTTCACTTCAAGCGGTTTGCCAAGATCCTACCAGGTCTGGATGGATTTCCTGTGGAATGGCATAAAACATTTATTGATATATTTGCTCCTAAATTCTATCAACCATACAAAAATGGTGTTTTATCTTCAGTTAGTGAAGCATATATTACAATTATATCAAAACCTGGAAAAGATCATACATTATGTGTTAACTACAATCCTATTTCATTGATTGATTAGATATTTTGTTTTAGCCAACAGATTTCAACAAGTAATTTTTTCAGTGGTTAAGAATGATCAAGTGGGCTTTATTAAACTATACGTGGATCACATAATACTTGGTGGGTAGTAGATTTGATTGATTTGAACAAGAACAGAAAAGACAAAGCTGCAATTCTGTCACTTGATGTAAAAAAAGCTTTTGATAAAACGTATAAATCAAATATGTATGTTACTTTAGCCAAAAGTGGATTTCTCAAAGGATTTATAAAATGGGTCCAAATACTCTATGCAACCCCCAAATCTAAAGTGAAATCTAATCTACTTTCCAATATTGTGTGGAACAACACTTGGTGATCAATTATATAAAAAAACTAAAGTAATGCTATTTGCCAATAGACCCAAAGTCCATAGATAGGCTATTAAAAACCACCATTTGAACAGGTTAAAAATTTTAAGTACCTTGGCACTGTATTTAAAAATAATAGGAGGGTCATACTGCAATGCCACTAATTGTGTTCAAAAGCATTACAAATACAAGCACAAAAATCACTCCTAAGCATGTTCCCAATACTGTTTTCAGTATCTGCCAGAAATGAAACCAGAGCCTGGATTGTAGCTATTAATTATTAGCATAAACTTAAGTATAATCCATCTCTGTTGACTCACCTCATCTTTGATTATACATTTTAATCCACTTGGAAGAAAGCCCTAATTCAGAAAATGGTGTATCTATTCACAATTATGTTATGTATTCTACATTGGGACCAGGCTAAAGAACTGATAAAATTCTAGACACAATATAGTTTAATTTTATCCACTTATCTAGGTTTTGTCAGTTTCCTAATTTTTTCAAGGGAGAGTTATAGCCTTCTATATAGGACCCAGCCTAATTATCCTTGTATTTTGATGAGAATGTGTACCAACATCTCCTATCCATCTTACTGTAGGGTACATCTGCTCAAATTCCTATAATACACAGATTGTGCCCATCGAGCATGGAAAAAGTTAAATAAAATATATAAAGAGGTTTTCTTGTATATTGATGGATGGAAATCTTTTAGTCCTATCCTTTGGGTACACAGTCTCAACATGAATGTAATTGTGGATTGCTTTATATTTTGCAATTTCAGTGTCCTGAATCTTGAATTATACTATTATGCATACCTTTGAACTAGTACTACATTTTGGATGTGTTCACTTCAGCATAAATTTTCCTTCCTGGGTCCTTTTGGAATCTTCATTTGTAGCTCCTTTTATCATTTTAACTACTTTGGCTTCAAAATATCAGATACATATCTCCTGTTGTTGTCATACCAAACTGAAAATTGTGATATCCTTTTTTTTAAAAATCATACTTTTTTCTCATGCAAATTTATATTATGGTATAATCCAGACTTTAAAATTGAGAGAGATGCTATATGGAAAATCTGAGTGGATCCTAACATTTTTACTTTAGATCTATTATTTGATGACAATGATGCATTTTATCGTTTTCTTTGTTAAAAGAACAATGCTATTTGTCCATCACCATTCACTGGCCAGTATTAATAACTACAATATTTAATGACATCTCAATTTGGACCAGAGACATTTTCAGCCTCAGAGTTACCTAAATTATTAACAGTGATCAATAAATCCTACAATCCTGGTATTGGTAAATCAGTAAGATATACAACTTTTAAAGACGGAATAGAATAAGAAATGGAAATCCTCATTTTGTCTGAACAAAGGGAAACCATTTTAACCTTAGTATCAAAAATTTCAGTAGATCTTATATTGGACAGCCTATTCAACAGAAAATGATATTTTGGAATTAGTGGACCCCACAGCATTTACATAGAAAATATGCAAATGTGAGCAAATCCTTATACTGTTGGAAATGCTATGGCATAAAATCATGTCTCTGTGATGTCCTAATGTTATTAAATTCTAGGAAGAAGTAATTACAGATATTAATTTGTCAGACAAAGTTTAGTATTTTCAGACATCCATGTTTTTTTTTTTTGAACTACTATTACAGTGATGGTTGGACAATAGTGAATCTGTGATATCCTTACTGCTAAAAGACTTAGTCCTTCGATACTGGAAAGGTACATTTATGACCCCAAACACTCAATGGATTTAAAACCTCATGTTATTTGTGACTTATGAATGAGTTGCTTATAGACACAGATTATGTATGGACAATTGTAATGAAATATGGCCATCCTTTATCAAAACTGTTGGGTAAAACTGTGTGTGTGAGAGAGATAGAACTCATTATTTTTTATTTTGCTGCATTGCTTTCTTTCCCCCCCTATTTTTTCCCTCTTTTTTTCGTTTTATTAAATTTTTTAAAATGCATGTTTTCAAATTCTTTGCACAGCCCCATAATATATCATATTACATAGTATATGATATTATGTACTATGTATTCATACAAAAGGAGGTGAGCAGCAGGACATAGACTGAGCTCTGCTCTAACTCACTATCTTTATTAGGAATGTCTTTTATTTATATCACCTCACTATTTAAGTGATATATTTACTAATTGTGCTATCCTTGAACCTGATAAGAAAGTAACAGGAGGCACCGCAGAGATGGGAAATAAAAATAAATCTAAAAAACAAGGCAGGATAAGCTCTGAACAACCATTGAACAAAATGTCAAAAAACTGAAAATTGGCAACTTTTGCTGACATCCTTGGTAAATACTTGGAATAATTTAAATTTAGTAACACTGAACAATCAATGTGAGGTATTAGCTTTATTAAAAAAGCAAGCTGAATATAGATACAGCTACAGCAACATCTATAGAATAAATTAGTCTCTGATGCAACCCAGAGAAACTACAAGTGATTATAAATTAACAACTG